AATTCTCCATGGCATACCTAGACAAGAAATTTCGAGGGCCAGCCGTCCAAGTCCAGCACCAGGGACTAAGCAAGCAGGAGGGGTACTGCAAATCATATAATTAACTTTGTAAGCAGAGTAAATGATCCAGGAACTAAAATGCTCAACCAAATACTTGTTGTCTTGTCTATCTCGCTTGTTAGTTCTCAACAGGCCAAAAAAGGAGTTTGCCAATTTGTCTGTCTCTCTTTAGTCAAGTCTCTATGACGGGACTTCGGTGGATCAGACAGAAAGCCACCAATTTTGGATATTTAATAGTAAAGACAAAAAGACTTTTTCTTTTTCCGCTATCTCAGAATGCAATGATGAGAGGTCAGAGACTCAAAAGTAGCAAATAACGGTAACATGGTGTACCTCCCCTTTTGACGATCAGGAAACAAGGAATCAAGCTCTTCAAGGATAGGCTTGTAGCATTGATCTCGTTCTCTCTGACCCTGTAAGTAAAAAGAAAAACCACTAACAGCTTAAGTTGTGAATTGTGATATAATATTAAAGAGAGAATCTGAGTACATCATTGTCACAAGAAAATGAAAACCAAAGTTCTGCTTACCTCTGCTGCCCAGTCTCGAACTATATTCCTTATTATACAACGAACCTGTGTTAGAATTCAACAAAACCATGCACATTTAAAAGTAATGGATTGGTGAGCAATACACACAACATCACAATAAACATATGCAATTGTACTGGTGAGCGTGTCACCTCTATCGTGTTCATATGTATAGGTGTAATGAGTACTTAAGCGAAACAGGATTCACCTCACCATGCAAAACTACATGAAGAAATCGACCCCCGTAACTTTCCAAACTGCCTAATGGAAATAATAGAGATTGAAAATAGGTTCTAACAGGTCGCCTTAGATCTTTCTCTCCCACTACAAGAGCTCTAATACAATTATGATAACCTAGGATGAAGAAAACGAACATTATCAGCCATAGGAAAAGTGAAAAAGCACACCTTATCTACATCAACCAGAGGAACATATGTCTGTAATGATGAATCCAACCAATCATGAGATGAAAATGATACCTAAGAAAGAGAATAGCAAGATTAGGATTAGAAAAATCACATGAATTGGTATGCAAAATGATACCTAAGAAAGAAAAGAGCTACATTAGAATGTAGAAAAATCACATGAATTGGAATGACAAGTTTATAATCATAAATGGAGTAGGACGCAGAAATATACACAACAAAACCTATGCTTGACAGTAGAACACGTTCTGAAGATAGAATACCAGATAATATTCATATGAACTAGAATACAAGAAATATTCAAATGATCCACCAAAGATGTTCAACAGCTTAAAGATCTTATATAACTGATATGATAACTAAGGTAACTGCGCATTTCCAACGATAGTCAACACGTTTTCTGGAAGGAACTGAGGTATTAAAGTATATGAGTTGCATTACACTGCCATGGTCATGATTTAACTGGCCTCCATCACAATCACATGCCTGGTTATTAATTCTTGTGTCTGCAGAGCGATTCTTGGGGGAATGATCATGAGCTTCCTTCCTTTGAGGCTCCTACATTTATACGAATAAATTAAAGATTCCAAATGAAAAAAAATGAAGTTTCCATGTCTTTATCTGACCTCAATAGACAGCACTCCTTTTATTGGCTCGCGCATGTGTTTACATTCTTCCTGATGTGTACAACTATTGGTCACGGCAGGCTGACAAGAGGAGTCATGCCTTTGATCTAGCCTGTATTTCTCATCTGGAGTGCAATCAAGATTTGAGTCTTCACAACCATCAAGATCCTGACTCAAGTCTATAGGGGGCTCAAAAGCCTGCCAAATAATTATGAATCATCATCATTACATGACATGGATTGTCTCCAGCATATCAAGCATTTCAAGGTTCAAGTTACGAATCACATGTCTAAATAAGTAGCATGAAGCAAATAAAACGCCAAGGGAATAGAAGAATTGTTTGCAACTGACCTGAAGCATATTAAATATGAAATATGAATTCATCGATATACACCTGCAAACAACAAAGTCCAACAAATTACTAATATTTCAAACAAAACTATACTTGGGTTATCTGGGACAAGCACAAACACGTTGTAATAGCTCAAGTTCAATCTGGCATACTACCGCGTTTAGTTTGCCGCCAGCATGAGAAAGAAGAATTGTAAGAGGCACAAATACTACAAAATGACATGTTTGTGAACATGACATAAACCTAATAAGATTTAGGCAATCAAATACTTAAGTACTCCATCTTGTAAATAGTAGTGATCTGTAGTTTTACTTTCAGAAAGTAGTAGGTATATATATATAAATGAGTTGACAAATCAGACATTAATTCTAAAATACGTTATCCTACTGTATACATGCAACCTATTTTCGAAAATCATCCCCGAGAGGTCACATATTTCGTAGGAATAAATGCAATAATGTCAACACCAGAAACCTGCTTGTTACTCGTTTAGACTGCCCCTAACCTCAAATTTCCAGGGCATATCATTTTTGTGAAAAAAGAGAAACATTTTTTAACTACAAAAGTTAATGAAAACGTTAAGCAGCATCAGGATTCATCCATGATACAAAGTACGAAAGAAGAAACAACTAATCATATCTGAACCTTGAAGCAACTATAATGGAATCAAAAATCTGAATACCATGGGACACTTATCTAGACAACAATGTGGCTATAAAATAGTCAAACATCTAGTGATTATAGATTCCACCTTCTTAATTTCTGAAACTTCATAGGGTAATGGGGTACAAGTGCCTGGATAAGAAAAAAGAAAAAAAAAAGGCATCGCTGAAAATCGTTAGTTCTATTACAAGTTATTACAACTATAAGCAATCAAAGAAGAGCCGGAAAAAATCAACTTGACTTGAAATCATTTGATGATCTCTTAACGGTTCGGTACGGCGTGTCTTATTATTCGTAAGAATTTCAAACGGTTAAATATGCTACAGCAATAAAACTTTAACATCATATCGACATGGTAACACAACAAATAACAAACTACATAACTGTATAGCTACTGAACAGCAAGAAAAAACTTTTTAAGTTTTTCTCAAAACGCAACTATGGCAAACCGCAAACCACGTGTAAAGACATTCTTAATAGACCATGCCACTATTCTCTCGAATAATCGTGTCAACATGTCTTAAGGCTAGAAACCAGGCAGTAAATTTACCTTGTGTGCAGGAGACAGCTTCCGATATGATCTTTCCCATTTTTTCACATCCTCTTCCGAAGCCTCAGGATAACTGTACAAAATCCCAAGCATAATAAGGAAGGTCAACGATGCAGAACCTTTTAACCTAAGAAACTTACGAAAACGAACTAAATTACCGGACCACCTTACAAAAACACAAAATTCAACCAAGAATGAGCCCACCAGGAACATGGTTATTTACAAGAAAACTGAGCTTCAGCAAACTTAGGTGTAAGATTTAAATCATAAAATTGGACGTTCATACAAAACTATCATTTTAAAGTCCACAGTTTCAAACTTCAATTCAGTAACCAAATAACAAAATACAAACAGTGTAAAAATCAAAAGCAACGAATTTGAGCATTCACTTTCAGTGCGAAGCACAAATTAGAAAACCAAAGTATCCTAGAAACCAAAGGAAACTTATTTCCCAGTTCCCATATAGTTCAATCTAGAATTGTGATTCGAAATTCCAATCATCATTCAGATAATTCTCCTTAAATCCGCCAACAAAGTGCCATTTCAATTACGAAAATATATAAAGAGCCGAAGAATGATGAGTGAAAAGAAAGAGAGAGATACTTGAGGTAAGCACTGATAATGCGGCGAAGAGATTTGGCCTCGAGAGCTTCTTCAAGCTTCTTCTGACGGCGTATTTTCTCCTCCTCTTCATCATCCACTTCCCTCGACATCTCTATCCGCTCAGTTTCCGTTGCCACGACTGTGATCGCTTCCGGTGCCTGTTCCGGCGCCGTCTCCGTCATCTCTGACGATGAAATTACGGTGGCTCTTTTGTCTGGAGTTTGATTTCTTCGTCGAAGGTTATATTAGGAGGAAACGATTTATTTTCCAAATTGGGCACCATGTCTCTCAATGGGCCTATATTTAGCCCATTTACGTAGTTGGAGAAATAATAAAACGTTCAATATAATCCTTGACCAAAATTAAATTCGATTCAGATTTTTTTTTTTCTAACAGTAAATATTATTAATGAAAATGAACGTTTACAGTTACAAACTGTTACTAGAAAAATAAGTTACGCGTATGAAGTTGAATTTATGGT